TTTTTTTTTTTTTTTAACTCACTTTTCAAATTCTGGGACAAATGAGCAAAGGACCATATATTAAATAACTTTTTTAGCTCAGCAACCCAGACTCCTTCATGAAGTGCTCCTTCCTTGGGTGCAAGCTATCTGTTGGGTTTTTCAAGGAAAAATTAGAACGTGTTCTTGCAAGAAACATCAGTATCATAATGCACAGGGTTTGAACTTCTGGCAAGATGAGTGCAACTGAGGTTGAAGCTCTAGTAATTTTAAGTCAACAGAGGGATTTTGTGCTTTTAATTAAAATTAAATATTAATAGTCAAAGGAACTGGCCAGACAGTCAAGGATTCAGCACTTGCATCCTGTGCCTGATGTTGGATTGGAAGCTTAGAGGAACCATTGCAGGGATACTCTGCAGGAGGACAGATAGGTGGTTGATCACTTTAGCTGCCAGTCTGTAGCAAGATTCTGTTGTCATGGTTGAACTGAGATTTTGCATTTTTTTGGGAAGTTTTTAAGTTGGGAAATACCTGTGTATTTTAAAGGTAAAAGGTGACTGACAGTTGGTGTTGGAAGAGGAACCTGAAATTTGGTGTTGAAATGGAGGTGGGGAGTTTCAGACTGTGGAAGCACTAGAGTTTCTAAATACAACAGACGTAAGAATTTTTGTGCGTCAACAAAAGAGAACATTTTTGTGTCTCATTTAATGTTGTGCTAAATTGGACAACTGTCATGGTTTAACCCCTGCCGGCAACTAAGCCCCATGCAGCCGCTCGCTCACTCCCCCACGGTGGGATGGGGGAGAGAATCGGAAGGGTAGAAGTGAGAAAACTTGTGGGTTGAGATAAAGACAGTTTAATAGGTAAAGCAAAAGCCGCACACGCGAGCAAAGCAAACCAAGGAATTCATTCACTCCTTCCCATTGGCAGGCAGGTGTTCCGCCATCTCCAGGAAAGCAGGGCTCCATCATGCATAACGGTGACTTGGGAAGACAAACGCCATCACTCGAAACGTACCCCCCTTCCTTCTTCTTCCCCCAGCTTTATATACTGAGCGTGACATCATATGGTATGGAATACCCCGTTGGCCAGTTGGGTCAGCTGTCCTGGCTGTGCCCCCTCCCAGCTTCTTGGCTTCTTGTGCACCTGGCAGAGCATGGGAAGCTGAAAAGTCCTTGACTAGTGTAAACACTACTTCGCAACAACTAAAACATCCCTGTGTTAGCAACATTATTCTCATACTAAATCCAAAACACAGCACTATACCAACTACTAGGAAGAAAATTAGCTCTGTCCCAGGCGAAAACAGGACAACCACCTTAATTCATGCTACTTCTGAGACTTGTACTGCATTTTTCTAGGGGCAGAGGGGTTTCTTTAACAGGGTTCATAGTAAACTCAGGTTCTGTTCTATGCAGAAAGAAATTGAAGACCTCCGAGCAAGACTGGCCATATTAGAAGCAAAAGATCAACAGCTAAGAAGAGAAATTGAAGAACAAGATAGGCTTATTCAGTCACAGGACTGTGAACTGACTGCTTTACTTGGCTGCGTTTCTTTGAGAGAACTACAGGAAATAAGCAAGGCTGTGGATGACATTTTAGCATCCTCCTATCGAATTCCATTCAGTCTGGATCTTCCAGGGACAATAAAGAGGTATTTAAATTTCAGTATGTTGTCAGTGATGTAGAGTGTTGTATCTTCCCAATGTACTGTTGAATTGGCTGTCAGTTGTTTTCTTCGTAATTGTGCCAGCTAATTAGCTGGATTCAGACGCTTGAAAATTTTCTAAGAACAGATGTTGAAGTTCTAATATTAATATATATATTGCTTCCTCAGGAAAGAAGACTTTGTAGTTATTTGAAGGTCTTGCACTTAGTATTTTTTTTATGGTAAAGAGCCACCTACAGAAAGCATATGTATCCATCAACTGTTAATACCTGTCATCAGTTTAAACTATTTCTTGTTAACTGGTGGAATTTTTTCCCCAGCTTGGTAATGCAGTAATTACAACATATTTCTCACAGCCTGAAAGTGTGTATTAGGCACCACCCAAATAAATATTAGAGATGCTTCTTGCTTCAGTGAACTTCCAATCATAATAAAGTCCGATGTGATGAGTGTTAGGCTCAGACAGTGGACTCGAGGTAGTGGGGGAAGGGATAAAGCATGAAGACTTTTGGGACACCTACAGTTAAATGCACCAGCATATGGTTCCTTTAAATGGAAAAGTAGCTGTTCTTGGTAACCTTTTGGAAATAACCTCATCTTTATTTACAAAAGCAATAGAAGTGCTTCAGCGCCTAAATGGTACTGGCAGTCAATGGGGCGTTGGTGATGGAACTCTGAAAGTGTTACTGCTGCTGTGTCACCAGGACAAAATAAAATTCCTGTTTATCTTAACTTGCATTTCTTCCAGCTAAGCAATAACAATGTTGCTTGCAGTTTTTTTCTCCCTTCATGTTTATTGGATTTAGTTTGGTTATATTAACATTCATGAGAAATTGCTGCTCATGTGTGCTAATTTATACAGATTTTTTTTTTAAAGTCAGCGGAACATTTCATAGAGGACATATTCCTCTCATTGGAGGTTTGTTTAAAATGTTAAATTAGGTTATGGGAAATAGTTTCTTGAGTTAAGTTTAGTTTGTTTTAATAGTATCTTATACCTGTGTTTCCGAGATTGAGAAATAAAAGGTCTCAAGCAGCCTGTCTGAGAACCCATGCTTTGATTTGAGTTTTCTCTTAGTTTTGGATTTGCTTACGAAAGAATATTCAGATTTTTTTTTTCTCACATTGCTGATGCAACATTTGAGTTGCACTTAACTCTTTGGGAAATTATTTAAAGATGAGTTAAATTGGTACTGGTTCAGAAGGAACTTGCTCCAAGTTCTTCACTCACTGGTACCATGGATAACACAATCACTTGAGGGAATATAGGCATTCATTATTCGAAGTGGGTGCAGAACTTTAATGAAGGTTTAGAATTAATTTCTTTCTTTTCTGTTCATTTTTAAAAGATGCCTTGAATGGAACCTTTCTGGTTTAGTTTTGTTTGTTGATCAACTTTGTGTCACCAGGGCCAATGATCAGGTGCTTCTGCTCTCTTTACCTTAGCGGGAGTTCCCCTATTGTAAGTGGGGACAGATAAATGCTGGTTTGGGCTGCACAAGTAAGCACACTTAGGCAGGCATCTATGACAGCCTTTGGGAACAGTTTAAATCTCCTATGTCAGTGTGTCCTCTTGTCAAACCCCAAAGCCGTTTCTGACCAGAACTAATGGCAATGATGTAGATGCCCTCCTATGGCTAGAGTCCTTGGTTCAGAATGTGGAAGCTCTGCATTTAGGTCCTCCTACAGCCTCAGAGCAAGCTCTTACCTGCTAAGGGTTTCAGTGTCCTGGCAGGGAGCGTGCTCCATCACAGTTCTTTAACTGGACCTTAATGTGTCCAGGAATGCAAAAGCAGAAATCTGGCAAAAGGCCAGAAGGCTAACAGGCAAGAGGAGATCTGACTCTGGGAGAGGATTAATGGTTATAGCACTCAGCTGAGATAAGAGAGAGACCTGGTGGTCATAGTTGTTGAGGGAGTTGGCCACTGTCCATTGATGAAGTGCTAGATTTTTTTTTTCTTTCCTTCCTTCTTCTTCCCAACTTAAAAGCAAAGTGTGCTGGTAGCAACATATCACAACCTGGCTGATGCAGCCTTTCAAAGAAGCAAGGTACCACTCACTGTCTGTTCATCAGCTTCTCTCCTCTCTGCAGGAGATGGTGGCTCTCTCTGAATTAAAAACACCTTGTAGGTGTTTTCTCTACATGATGTGGCTTCTTGGTCTGGTAAATCCCATTCAAAATTTGCCCAAGTGTTGTATATGCCGTGCCTGCTGCTCTATTGAAAATGCACAAGCTGCCTTGGGAGCACAGACTGATATCTCCAGTCCAGCTGTGTGACTCAACCGCTTGACTTTAGCATGTAGCCACTTCCTTGCCTTTGGTTCTCAAATCTCTTCCCCCAAACCACTTGCTACTTTAGGTGGCTGAAAGCATCTCAGAGCTGTGGTTGCGTGATGGTAGGCAGGCACATTTCCAGCGTGGGTTCTCTGCCACTTCTTGCTTTCAGGGCAGGCTATAGATCCAGAAGGGTTGAGGGGAAGAATATGCTCCTACAAGCGTTGTCGTTAATTAACAGTGAGATTTAGGCTCACTGTTAAACTGAGTAAAGTGATGAGTGTCTTCCTTTTAAAACTGTGCAGTCTGTCATACGTCAAGTACAGTGATCTTAAGTCTGCATCCAGTCATGTTCTGTTCTCTCTTTCTGTAGGATGAAAAAGCAGCAAGCAGATAGTAAGACATCTGGTGTGGATATACTTCCCGTGTGCCTATGGGCATCCCCTACATTGTCATGCTATTATAGAATAATTTAGGAGGTCATCTTGTCAAACCCCTGCTCAAAGCAGGGCCACAATTTCAAAGTAAGATCAGGTCGCTCAGGGCCCTATCTGTCTGAGTTTTGCATATCTCCAAGGATGGAGATTTTGCAGCCTTGCTAGGCATCCTGCATTTCATCACCCTTGCTGTGAACTTTTTTGTCTCATGTCTAGCCAGAATTTCTCTCCTTACAACTTGCATTAGCTTATCCTAAATTAGTACTTCTTGTGAAAGGCAATTGTATATTAGATAACAGGTTAAAATACTTGACGAAGCCAGTTCAGCATATTAGTTTTAAATTCCAAAGTCTTGGGATATTTAATGTGAAAGAGATTTTTCTGGAAATGTACACTTTGTTGTATAAATCATTGCAGACAAAAAAAAAATTAGTCTTCTAAAGTTAGGGCTATCTGTGTGAGAAATAAAGCTATTACTCATGCATGTATACTAAAGATCAATGCTTGTATAGAAAGTCATTCAGTATTGATGGGCTGTAAATGACAAGCTCCTGGGTATTGGGTTGCAAGATACTATGTATTTATTCTAACTGCTAGTTAGTAAAGTACTGCTCTAATGCGCTTTTGCATAATTATTTGCTGGGTACATGAATTGCATTCAGCACTGGAATAACACAGGGCTGATGTGAAGCATCTCTTAAGACAATCTGTGCTGTAATGAATCGTGTTGAGTGGCTTGCAGCTCACTATGAAATAAAAATTATTTTGCTTTTCTTGGTCTAAATGCTATTAAATAGCAACTTATTAAAGCAAACTTCAGGGAACGTGAGAGAACATCTTAAATGAAGAATAATTGCCCAGATAGAAGTGTGCAGAAACAAGAGAGCAAGTCAATGTAACATTGGGCTGAGCATTGTTTCTAAGCTTATTTTTCTTGTCAAACATTGTTATTTTCAGGAAGATTAATAATCCTTTGTTTTGTCTTGTTTATCTTTGGTATGTGGTGGACTTTTTGAAAACAAAAAGCCTTTGTCAGTAACTATAGCATGCTTTGAGTTTGAAGAGTTGAGAAATGTTAGACATGTTACCCTGGGCCCTTTCTTGAGGGCTGTTGGAAGCTGAGGTTAAAACCTGGCCGGTTAATGTGCAAACAAATATGTTAGCTTGTGTTTTGATAGGGATTCACATTGAGGTTGGGACTGCAGAACCTGGTCGTTTTGCTCATTCAGACAGGGCTAATTGCTCTTTGTAAATTAAAGGGTCTAATCATTATTATAAAATGAGGAGATTGCAGTGCAAAAGCTCAGTTCGCTTGCGAGGGGTTGCGTGGAGATGTGTTTAAAAGGTGGGAGCAGCTGGTGGTATGTGCACTGTGACACATGTTAGTGTTTTAACTAAAGACGACATTGAAATCGGAGGAAAATAGGTCTGAGCATTTCAGTGTGAAGTACTTTCTCCTGGTGATTGCAAAAGGTAACAAAATATATAATTTCTGTATCCTCTACTGAAGAGGACACCATTTCACAAATACATGTTTTTAACTGGTGTAACTTGAATCTTCTAGTTATAGAATAAGACCATGTTAATTATTTGACTTATTCTCTGCAGTACCTGCTGTTTCCTTTTTTTGTTTCTTATCATTTCACAGTGAAAACTGGGAAAGTCTGTTATACTTCTGTTCATATTTAGTTTCACTTAGCATTTGCTTTTTTGGTTTTATCCGTATCTACAGATGCGTGTGACTGTACAGCACGTCATCCTTAAAATAAATTGCACAGTTCCATCTGGACTATTGTCTGGGCACTGAATGCTGATTGAAAGAAAGAAATTCAATTAAGTATCTTTCAAAATATTTGAATACTCCACCTCTTCTTCCACCCTTCCCATGGAACAATTTTTAATTAGTAGGAATTTGTTCCACAGTGTGTGTGGGGGATCTTCTGAAGATAGGGAAATTCTCTATTCTGTATATTAGTTATTATAGTACTGTCGTGGCCAGTGGCGCAAGGAACTGAACTTGAAGATTTATGCAACCAGTTCACTCTGCTTTAGTGATGCCTGGAGCTTATCTGACAAAGATTAATTCAAAGTGAAATACAAATACTCAGGGGGATGAAAAACTTATTAGTTGGAATATACGCAAAGCATTCAGCAACTTCAGTTGAGGCCAAAGCCTGATAAAGCCAAAAAAGGTGGGGTTTTTTAGAGAAGTTAGTTTACTTGGGAAAATTTGGAAAAAAGGACTTATACATAGTTTCACATATTAACTTAAG